ATGAGATGAAAAAGAGGGCAAAAGGAATGATCTTTGGTGTTTGGTTTTGCCAACAAAATGAAAATAAAAAAGAAATTAAAAGGGTCTCGGATCCTGAACAAGGAAGAAGATGAATCTGAAAGTGAATTCAAATTCCTTGCTCCAGGATCACCTGGGACCCTTGTACCATACAGAAGGTCAGAGGGTGGAAAATAATATTAAAGAAAGTGGAGTCTCCATCAAAGAAAAATGATGAAGACGAATGAGGAGGAGGAGAAGGAAGGAGGGTGGGGTGTGTGTTTGGGAAAATGGGTTGGCCTTGGGAGGGGAGTGACAGGGCAAAGGGCAGCTTATCAATGGAGTTGGTAGAGGTTGGATATAGGAGGCCAAAAATGAATGGAGGGAGGGACTTGGGGGAAACGAGTATTGCGGTGGTGGAAGTTTTGGTGTTTTGGTTGGAGGGCCTCTTGCTTTATTTGATTTTGTGGGAAATGGGGTCTTTGCTTTTTTTGACCTCCTAAAAAATTGCAACAAATTAAAAAAGGTTGGATGAGAGAGAGAGAGAGAGAGAGATAGAGAGAGAGAGAGATTAGAGTGGGGTATTTAATTTAATTTAATTTAATTTGTGAAATGATTAAGAAGACAAAACAAAGAGTGAGGCAGCTCGGGAGAGAGAGAAAGATGAGTCAATTGGCAATCAAATAAAGAGATAAATTATAATATAGTTTTTGTCTTTTTTTGACAGTATTTTTATTATATGATATGATAAGCAATCGATTGAAACGTACTTGGGTTGTGATTGTCCATGATTTTAATATTTTTAGAAAAATAAAGTGATTTTTGTATGAAATTCGAAAGATGGCAGCAACTTTTTTATAGTTGTCAAGTGGTAGAGAACTTAGTTTTTTAATAGTCAAATGATTTTTTAAGAAGTATAGTTTTCATACGTACGTAAGTAGGGAGTCCAATCTTTTGAAACCGACATCCTTTTATGTAACGAGTAATGCTGCTCTTATCACATTTATAAATCACTTTATGCAACAGATGAAGTAGACAATCATGTCAATTAAAAAGTGTCAATAAATTATAAAAAAAATTTAAATTAATTTTAATTGATATGAATATCCATATTATCTATCATGCAAAATAGTATTGCATATGATAAGAATAGTATTACTCGTAATGATGAGTAATATTATTTTATATTCTCATGACATACACCCAACTATCAGAAAATGTAATACGTTATGTTAGTGCGTCGTGAATTGAAATGATGATTCACATAATTTGGTAATTCTCAAATTTTCATTTGCTTCCGTGCTCCAAACACATGTCGTAATGTGATTGCTTTGTTGGTATGATTTCGATTGATCTTCTAAAAGCCCAATCCTCCAACAACGAGAGGGTCCTCCAAAACGCACCATGATGTGCCGTCACGACTCATTCATTCGAACACGTGGCATTTATTTATTTATTTAATAATTAAATAAACAAAGCAAGCTCCATCCCGCGTACTTCGAGACTTTTTGTTGTTGTTGTATTAGATTAGATTAGATTGGATTAAATAAATAAAATATAAATTAGTCGGAATAAAGAGAGAGAAATCGCGGGGCTGTTTTCTGACGTGGAAATTCAACCGTTTATGATGGGAAATAGGACCCTCACGTTTTGGTCTATCTGTACTGATGTGACCTGCCTTGGCTTTCACTGTAGCCCAATTTTCCTTTTCTTTTAACTTTTTACAGCTTTGACCCAAAGTGGGGTCACACAACAACCCAAATCCCATTCACCATCCACTGTATAACTTGCTTACTAATTATATATCTTTAGTGCGGATGGTGAGTCATATGAGTTCCGTGAACTGACTGTGAATGGGACGATTGATTGAGTTGATGAGGCATGATATTAGATCATTCTAGAGTTTTGACTTTTAATCTACTATTAAATAAGGGCAATGATTTCCCCACTTCTATTTTATCTACTTACACTCTTTTTTAGTTATAAAAAAGGAGTATAAGTGGATAAAATAGGAAAAAAATGATTGGGGAAATCACCACTCTTAAATAATTCCTTGTGCTTTTTTTTTTTGGCAAATTGAAGAAACACACACAATAAAACTACGAAAATAACCCCAATAACCAAGTCTCATTAGGCTGATATCGACCCCCCAAAATGGGTGATTCATATCCGTCATTATGCTAATGGAGTGGCTCGTCATGTTGCACAGTTCATTTTACACGTCGAAACTTCTTTATATTGGTAAGAGGAATCTTTAGGTTCTATATTTTGATGTTGCTGGTAATGGGACCCTGAACTGTCTCTCTAAAATTTGACGTGGTATCAAAGCGAGTTTATTGACTGAGCCTGAATTACTGGGCCTTTACTCTTACCCCTTACTCAATACGTGGTGTTCACATGTTGAGCTTGAATGTTTACATTTACCCAAGACGTGGTGTTCACATGTTGGGCTTGAATGTTTGACTCCGATGTGGACTTGGTTCTACGTGTGACCCACTATGTTTCACTACTAATATCATCAAGACCTATCGTGTAAAATCTCACACGTGCTAAACAGATGGTTGAGTTGGGTATAATATTGATGTTGCTAGTAGTGGGTTAAGAGTCCATCCCTCTAAAATTTAACAATCTCATAAAATAACTAATAAATATTTAATTAATTATAGTTGTAAATAGGAAAAAAAAAAAAGTGATTGTGAAGATAGCCATATACAGTGGTGGACCTATTAAGGTGCAAGGATGTGCAATTATCCCTCCATTCGTCGAAAAAGCCTTTGTAGACGCTACATATTGCCCTTTTGCTGAGGATGGGTGGTGCACTCTAGGTATTCGATGAATTGCCTCAAAGTAGTGCAGCGCACTTCGCACATATTTTTTTCCAAAACATCCTGACTAAAACAACACTGTTTTGAACTAGGTTTTAATAAATAAATAAATAAATATTTTTTTTAAAAGGAAACCTAGACTTTCGTTTCGTGGGCTTTAACAAGGACTTTCATGGACATATTGTAGGGCCTGCTTAATAAATGATTAAAAAAACTTTAGAACAATAGCTTTAAATTCTAGGGTTTTTAATAAGCTTTATTTTTCCTTTTCTTTTTAAACAAGGATTTTTAAATAATAATAATTTTTTTTAAAAAAAAGAGAGAGAAGGAAACTCTTGCATTGATTACACAACTCCTTATTTAAATTGAACTTGGAGAATTATTTATCTTTATAAAGGCTGCATTTTTTTTTCCATATTACAAGAATTAAAATAATCCAAAGTACTCTGCCTTTTTTTTTCCTCAAAGCCTTTGTAGGTTATCTGTAATGCTATTTTTTTCTATGACTTATGAATGACATTGATATTGTTTAAATTATAAGGATATTTGGTTGTTAATTTTTCTTTTAATAAAGCTTTTATCCTTTCAAATTGCATCTCCACTAAAAAATTGATGGGTCTCGAGTGGCCATATACTACTTAATAACCAATATGTTGTGTTAAAATCTTTGTTAACAAATACCGGCTAATTGGAATTAGTGTCAATCAACACCTAATGATGCTTAAGTTAGCTAACGAAACTACCTAACTCATATCATTTTCCCTAATTTGTTAGACAACGCCACAACCATGTTGATTATGAGAATGTCTAAAAAAAATATCAATTATAAATTAAATTCGATTCGGAACATGTCACCATAAGCTCCCAATATCACCACCCTAACCTTCGTTTGTGTCGCTCTACTACTTTTCTGATGATCCAAAAATGAGTGGAATTTGCTACACTTCTACTTTGATTGGATGTGGATTATGCTACTTGGACAGGGAAGCGTGCCCACTTTTTTACAACCAAAAGTTCATTTCTCATTTCTTCTAGATTATAGTAGTTTAAGATTAATTTAGACTATTGCTTGTATTAAAAGAAAAACGTGGTTGTTTGTTTGTTTGTTTGTTTTTTTTAAAATTTATAAAAGAAAAACGTGATTGTTAATGTAAGGCATTCACTCATTTATATAATTTTACTAATTTTTATTATTTTTTTGTTGTTGGTAAAATTAGGGGCAAAGCCAAAAAACACAATTACACAGAAAACGACGGAAATGCTATAATGAGGGGGTTGTGGAAGGGTTCAATCCCGCCGAGAGTAAAAATATTGGACTTCAACTTTTTTAATAATTGGATGGTTGGATTGAACCCCTCCTTCAATCCCCACACCCAAATCCCCCTCATTGTAGTATCTCCCGAAAACGAAACTATGCCAAAGAAAGGCTAGACTTATCCTCATCTAAATGTTTGAGTTGAAAGTTGTATGCAGTCTAAAAAGTAGTGTTGGGTAATATCCATGAGGCCCATAAACATGTGATCAAAGATCATGGATCCAAACCCAAATGAAGATAGTATTACTCTGTATGGACTTTTGAAAAAAGGCCCAAGCCTGTTAAGATCCTCAAAAAATGCAGTTTTTGGGAAACCCATGTTTAACTTCAAGAGGGATTGAAAATTCCCATGTAACACTGGGAAATGAAGACTAGAAAATATCAGTATTAGAAGTCAAGGTTTATTCAATTTTTTTTTTCAATAATACACTTATATTTTTTATTTATTAAAATTTACAATACCTGCAGAAGAAGACTAGTCATAATTGCAAACATAGGTTTAGCCAATTGACTAAGAAAGTGTGTCTCTTTCCTTATATCGGGTTTGATTCGCCTTATCATACATTAATATAGTTTAAAATATCGCTTTCTCCAAAAAAAAAAAAACAAAAAATTGCAAATAGTCATAGCATATTCATCCCCTCTATACTGCATTGATTCATTGAAAATAAAGGTAACTTCTCTTTCTTCTTCTTAATTTACAAGAAATGTAACTTTCGGTAAGGTGAATCCATGTGATCCTTTGATGTATTTTCCCATTCCAAATATGTATTTTCTTTGAGTTCCCCCTTCATCGTTTGTAAAACCTATTAACCAAAATTAGAAAATATAAATATAACGCTGCAAAACCACTGCACAAAGAATTTACAATAACCTACAGGCAGAGCACTGTTTTATTTATGTCCATTTTTTTTTATACAAGATACAGAAACATTACACACAGTAAAAATACAACCAAAGACTGAGTCATGCAGTACATGTCAATCTTTGATGGAATTATCCTTGATATTTCCAGGGTTTTGGTCGCAAGAAACTACTTCTTTCTATGCCCAAATTACCTAAAAGACTTTTCAAATCCATGGAGCTAAGTCTATGGCCGGCTAAACCTCTGAGGAAGTCTTCACTACGGCTTATACACTTTCATCTCATAATCTTTTCGTCGCATAAATAACGCATGACGAGTCGCTATGAAATGAATAATATATAAGCTTGCCCCGACCAACCTCTCATTATTTCTTTTAAGATCGGGGAAAAGTTAAAATTAAAAAAAATGAAACAAACACCTAAATATACACAAATTAAAGACATGCAAACACGACACGAACACGAAAAAAAACAAAATTAAGCTCAATATACATGTGCCCCCTTGAGGGACTTAAATTCAATGATCCCTTTGTAAAGAGCTTGCCTATTGAGTGGCATGGTGTCCATTTTATAATTTCCATTTCCCTCTTTGGCCTGCTTTGTTGTTGGTGCAAAGCGCCTCTTGCGGTACTCTTTGTTGTTTGATGATGGCTCCGCAACATCCGCTGCAAATCTAACACACTTCTTGCCTTGGATTTTCTCAGATCCTAATCCCCGAAAAATCGAAACAAAAAAAGATAGTTGAATTTTCAAAGTTTCGAGAGAAGACGGGTCAAAGTTCAGGAACTATTGCTAAATTATTCCCGCGATAAATGAAACGAAAAAACTTACCAGAAGTCATTTTTTTGTGGTGATCAAGCAAACCTCCCATTTCACATTCAATGTTCTTCATGAAATCTGAGAGAAGGCGCTTGTGGACTTGATGGGCAAGAAGAACCACGCTTCCAGATACAGCAACAACAGCCATGAACCCAACTCCAATAGAGTTATCCATCTCTCTCTCTCTCTCTCTCTCTCTCTCTCTCTCTCTCTCAGAATAAAAAAAGTTTCAATTTGGATCAAACACTGTCAAGAACATTTTGTACCAATAAGAACATGGAAAAAACCCAAGAAACGCATCATAACAAATGATTAAAAAAAGAAATTGGCGTTGATTGAAGTTGGTGTAAGATGAATATATAGTGTGAAAAGGATAAAAGGGGGTTTAAGATCGACGAAGTTTCCAAGAACGCAGGACATTGACCATATTAAGGCATGTGACTAAAAAAATATCTGGACCCAGTTAAAAAAAGACGGTTAAACTAAATTAATTCATTTGTTCTTTGTTAATTGTGTTAATTTCTGCCTGTATTATCCTCTGCCTCTAATTTTAATTGCAAACAAGTAACAAACTTGCTGTCTTTATCCAGATTCTTCGTGTTTAACCGCAAATCTGCCCCGTTTTAACTTAATGAATCGCCTCACGGGTCAATTTCGATTTCCTTTTTTTAAATTTAGTGACGAGGAAAATCCTACGATTCACTAATCTTTATTAGGTACAAAATCTTAAAATAAATCCGTGATAAAAATAAGCACCCAATGATTGTTTTTAATGTATATAAAATAGGATGATGTTTTTTTTTCCCTTAAAAAAAATTAGAAATAGAAAACTTATTTTCTCACCAGAGCAAACAAAAATCCAAAAGGGAACCAATTAAATTCGTTTTATAGACAAAAGGAAAAAAAGGAGAGGAGGGGAGGAGAGAGAGAGGGAAGGACAGGCAATGAAAATGACTTCTACTAAGGCTTTCATTGGATATGGAGGGAAAGTATGAATTATGCAACATGGTTTGTACTTGTGTGCCTTGTACATACTTTAGTTTTTCATTTTTAGCAAAAGGAAACGATAAATAAAGTAGGTTCTTGGTCTATCTAATTAGAACAAAAAAAAAATCTAATTAGATTGTGTTTGAATTATATTACGTTTGAAAGAAACACGTATCTAAGATCTTTTCTAACAATTGACGGTGGTGAAGTCAGAAACTTAATCTTGAACTATAATGGTAAATAAAATTTCGAGTTTCTGTGTTTACGTTCATTTAGTTGTCACATCAGTTAGTCTATGTAAGTGTAAATATTAATATTAAGCTATGAAGGCCAATGGTTTTTATTTTATTATTTTGGATTTGAAGACACCAGTAGTGAAGCTGGTTTCCAAATAATACAAGGAACTCTGAGGTGGTTCTGCATGATTATAGTCAAGACCAGTGATATAAACAATGGATATGATCAAGAATAAGTTAACATACAATTTTAAAATTCAACCAAACAGCTTTTATTCAACTTTGAAAATTTCAATTCAGGAATCTGATTTTTATTTTCTTTTTTCTGAGTCCAATCCTCCAAGCAACACCAACGTCATGTCTCATCATGACTCATGAATGCTATTCCTAGCCCAACAAAGAAAAGCTTCATGACCCACCCACCACCATCGTAAGCATTCCAGATAGCCACCGCACATCATAAAAACATAATTGAAAATTTACGATACAAGTCCATAAAACAAACAGTTCCCATGACTATAAAATCAAGCCATTAGCTAAACAAATGAACTTCAATCAAACAGTGTTGGTACCAAAATACATCAAACTAAATCAACAAATGCACACTTCATCCTCAAGTATTAAAACTTGCAATATCAATACCACACACATCAACAACGTAACCCACAAACAACACAAACCCAATTGAATTATACATATAAAAAAAGAAGAAACCAAAATAACAATCTTGTGGCTAGCTAACCCAATTTTTTCTTCTTGTTTTTGGTTAACATTTGACCTGGTGGAGCCTTAGCTTCCCATCAGTCCTCAGGTGGTGTAGTAGAATACTGGGTGGAGCATAAGGTGGATGAGCTTGATGCAGGCGCACGAGAACGACAGAAACAGCACCCCATACACAATTCTAAATCCCATTTCTGTGTTCTAAACCTATTGCTCTCTCTCTCTCTCTCTCTCTCTCTCTCTCTCTCTCTCATTTGAGATCCACAAAAATGGGCATATTTATAGAGGCAGGGAGGGAGAGTTAGATTTGAAGCTGGGAAAGTGGATAGGGTTTTGAATAAATGATTTGAACGTTTGAGTGTGGTTTTTATCTCATACGTGTCATGATGGGCAACTTTGACTTGCCACCTGGGAAATTGGATGGAGGAGTGTTACGTGTGGTGCTTTGGTTTAGTGCACCTGTCTGTTTGCACATGTAAGCTTAAAATGTGACCAAGCAAAGCACCAACGTAATGCAATTCATAATATGATATGATATGCAGTTATTTTGGATCATTTTAGGGTTTTATTGTGATTTTTGTTCCATAAATGGATTGGGCAATGTGTGGTTTGGGATATTGGGGACTTTGGAAAATGCAATGTTTTTCTGTGGTTACTCATCACCATGTGTTGTTTGTGTTATGTAAATCTTACGATATGTGTTGAGTTTAGGATTTTAACGTTTTATGTTAATGATTATTTTCAACTTTTCACGGGTTATGATTTAGGTGAATTCAAGTTAGCAACTCACATGGTGTTAACTTTACATACAAAAAATGTCTTCGGGTCAAGAGCTCCGACCCATTCAGTCTATAGTTCCTATCGATTAAAAAAGTGAAATGATACACTCTCATTCCTAAGAGCATCTGTAATGGTTAAAATCAATACAATTTTATTGCATGAAATTGAACTAAAATAGTAAAATCTCACTTGCAATGGTGTGATTTAGTTCATTACAATAGAGGGTGCTATGTAATGAACCTCTATTGCAATTGCAATAAGCTAACCTTGGGATCCACATGCTAATTAAAAATAGAAAAAAAAATTACATCAAATGCATTATGCCATTAAGAGCATCTGCAATGGCAATGCAATAGAAAAAATACATCAATTAATACATATATTTTAAATATATTCAAAAGGCTTATTTACTGTAGTAACCCCTGAAACTTCGATCAAATCTCACTTAACCCTCGCGAAGTTAAAATTG